CTCACTACCGCCAATACCAGAGTTTGAAAATAAAAGTTGAAATTTTATATTCTCATTTTGGAATTTCAAATCTCACTACTGCAAAAACCTCTAGTTTGAAAGTATTTACATTTTCTAATTTCGAAAAAAAGGCATTTAATAATCTGAAAAGTGTAAAGAAAATGTACAAAAACTAGCTTTTAAAACCTTCAATACCATTTTCTTTTTAAAAAAACATAAAATTTTCGCTCAAAAAGAAGGCATTTTATACAAACACGGGGTTCCGTGGGCAGCCCCTGACGCTTTTCGTAATTAACTCGAAAAGTATTGGTCTGTTCTAACAAACACATTTCCCTCCCATTAGATTAAAAGCGAGGCTTTTATAAATAAGTCCTATTTAAAAGAATTTCCGCATGTTTTCCTTGAATACAAATTTAGTTTTAAAAAATTTTGCAAATGTTTTTTCATATTTGAATTTGCCGTGTCAATGGCTTTTTATAAATGTATAATTTGTCACATTTTGTTTTTTGCACATTTTTTGCTGTATAACTTGATGTTGTTATATTTGCAATTTTGCAAATTTGCAATTTTTTTTGGCAGATTATTAAAGTAAATTAAAGTAAAGCCCAAAGTCTTTCCAAAAATGTATCAAATTTTATAGATATCACAATAAGGAAATAGAGAGAAGGGGGTCATTAGACTATTTTGGGTAAACCAGACGTCAGCCTGAATAGGGTTAATGTTGAGATTAGAGCTTAAAAACTTTTAACGAATTACAGAATATTGTTGACAGATAACAGCAACGCGCTAGACAAATCAGGATTATAGGCCAGCTAGGATTCTGGTGGGGGATGTTTATTTTCCCCGGACAATTCTTTCCCAGTAGGCCGCAAAAATACACACAACAGAGTAACCCCGTCTCAGAAAATCGATAACAAAATCTTTATTTCCTAAAAAATAACATAAATTATAGGTCATGGTTACTTGTACAATGTTATAATGAATATTAATAGTAGAAAAAATCTTACAAATTATTAAGGTGTGATCGGGGGAGACTTATTGTTGATCAGTATTGAAATA